TGGTGTTGGGTTAATGGCTTAATGTTGGACTTGTGGGCTTGGGCAGCATTGGGTTGGGATGTTTTCGTGATGCACCTTTTCTTTACATAAAACTCTCTCTTACACATGAGTCGCTGTGGATTTGTTTCTCCAAAGTACCTAGACTAATACACCACCCTTTGGATATTTCTCACCATAACACTTCCCCAGAACTCCTCAGAGGCATGTCTAGATGGCCATTCTTCAACCTCACTTACAGGGTTCCTGAAACATCAGAGACTCAACATGAACAGAATCGAACTTCCAATAGATACTTCCCCTGAGATTTCCCAAGACACCAGTTGCTCCCTCTGGGTGGATGGTGCAGCCAGCCTTTCCAGTAGTAAAAATGGAAACCCTTGGGGTCGTCCGCTCTCATTCTCACCCTCTGCATGAGGCGAACTAGTGGGCCAACCTTCGAAGACAGACCCAGATGTAAGCATTTCCACATCCGTTCACCATTCTACCCGTCAATGGAAGGTGCTGCACGCTCACCTGGACCACTAGTTGCTTCTCCCTCGGCCCCAGCCTCCACCCTCAGCCCACCTTCCGCCTTCCACTCTGCTCCTCCACTGGAAACCTTTCGCGACCCGACACCCTCAGAACAGAGGCAACTCCTCAACCTGCATTCCTGAGCTCGACTTCTGCCAACTTGTTCTCCGGTCGCTCCAGACACCTGGGCGACCTGGGGTTCCCTCGCTCCTCCAAACATTTGTTCCTCCTGGTTCCTGTACCTGGGAAGCCCCTCATCCCATTGGATTCCAGAAATGAATCCCTCTAAGAGGCCCCTGGAGTCAAAAACAGGGGGATGGAATAGGTGAAAAACCCGAAAGCAATTCCATCTGCCACGTGGTGGCCCCACCAACAGGGGGCCGGCAGAAGGCCTGGAGCCCCTCCACTCACCTGCACCAGGTCCATCAGGGTCGCTGCCAACAGAGTCCGTGGATCAAATGGGGTTGAGAGACCACCCCTCGGCCAACCACCTGCCTTGCTTCGTCCAGAGCCCAGTGTGGCCCCGGCGGGGGCGGGGCTTGGGGTGGGGGTCGTACTCCTAGCCTCAGTCTCCCCAGTATGAAATTAGACCCAGGGCCAGGGTGCCAGCTTCGCGGTCCGGGAGCGCGCTGCCCTGCTGGTCCCCGGGGGGGGGGGGGGGGGGGGGGGGGGGGGCGGGGGGGGGGGGGGGGGGGGGGCACCAGTGTCACAGGGGAGGAAAGGAGAGGTGTGTGAGTGTGTGAGTGTGCGTGTGTGTGCGCTTCCTACAAAGGTCTGGGGAGGACTCCTCTCCTGCTCACGGTGCTGCCGTGCTCTACTCGACAAACGGTCCCGATCCAGGTGCAAACCCACGACGGGCGAGCGAATCCTCGCTCGGAGTCGCAGAGCGTAAGCAGGACCTCGTCCCGGACCGTCACTGGGACGGCGCCCTCCGCCGGCGCGCGGCCTTCTGGGTAATGTAGTTTCTGCCCGGCAGCCGGCCCAGCGGAGGGGCCCGGGGCCGCGGAGGAGGGACCAGGGCGGCTGCATCCCGGGAAAGGATCCCAGTACAAAGCCGAGCGGGTCCGCGATGGAGAGCAGGGAAATAAGGGTCCCAGACCCTGTCCCCCGCTGCTGCAGCGTTCTGCCGTCATTGTTGTCAGGTGCCCGACGCACACCGACCTTATACACCACAGAGCGGAACTGACAGGCCTGGGCTAGTCTCCAAAGGGTCCTTAGGCCTGAGCCCATGATTGAAACCACTGTGTCCATCCATCTTGTCTGGTGACCAAGCATGGTGTAATTTTCCAGGGACTGGTCTCGCCAAAGTACGTGAGCAAAGTCTAGTAATCTTTACTTCTTCCAAGACAGACTTTGTTCTGTAGGTCGCCCATGGTACAGCCCATTATACATTACTAGTCTTTCTTGGGTATATGTGATCCCTTTCACCTGTCAGACATTGATTTAGGAACCGGGATTAACATTGAAAAAATTAATACCTGACTGTGTGGTCCTCATGGATTAGCACTAAGTGGTTCTCAAACCAGTGGCCTCTGCATAGTCTGAGAATGTGTTTAAAATGGAGGTCCTTAGGTAACAACTAAGACCTAGTGACTCAGAAACGGGGGAAGGGGGGCTGTCACTGTGCTGTGTTTCCACAAAACTTTCAGGGAATTAGAATGCTCACTCCAATTTGAGAGAGCTGCAAGCTCGCCACCTACCCTGCTTCCCTGAAAGTAAGACATGCTCTGAAAGTAAGAACTACTTACTGTTTTGCCTCTCGATGAAATATAAGGCATCCCCCCGAAAATAAGACTTCCCCGAAAATAAGGCCCCCCTCCCCCCAGAAGCTACCCTAACTCTGGACTCTGGACCGTAGCGGCGGCGCCACAGCACAGCTCACTGTTAACCGCAGCGCAGCCGGAGCAGACAGGATGTGCACGGTCTCTTTTAATAAAACAATAAATAATAAATGTGTACCGTATTCTTCTTCATGGAAAAATAAGACATCCCCTGAAAATAAGACCTAGCGCATCTTTGGGAGCAAAAATTAATATAAGACACTGTCTTGTTTTTGGGGAAACAGGGTAGTTGATGCCGATTCATAGCAACCCTATAGGACAGGGCAGAACTGTCGCGTGGCCTTCTGCACTAACTCCTGAGGGAGTGGAAAGCCGTGTCTTTCTCCTGGGGAGCAGCTGGTGGTTTCCCACTGCTCACCCTGCGGATCGCAGCCAACCTGTTACCTCGAGGCCACCAGAGAGAAAAGGAGAAGGCTCAATAAAATCTAATGAGATAGCAACAGTAACATTCTGAGTATTGCTATTGGCCATTCTCCCATCGTCGGGACTCATGGTGACTGCTCACTGCTGTGGGGTCCATGCTGATTCAAAGCAACTCTATCGGACACGGTAGAACTGCTCCTGTGGCTTTCTGAGACTATAAATCCTAAGGGGAGCAGAAAGCCTCATTGTTCTCTCTTGGAGAGGCTGGTTGTTTCGAACTGTTGACCTTGTAGTTATCAACCCAATGTGGAACCCACTGTGCCACCAGGGTTGCTCTATAAGTAAGAGTTATCATCATTCTCATAATCGCAAGTCTCTACATAAACTCCTGTGACTAGGTGAGGTAGTTAGTTTATTGTGCCAACCTGGCCGATAAACACAGGTGGGGTTCATTGAAGGGCGGGGAGATAAATGGCTCAGTGAGCCTCCTCTTTCTAGTTCTCAGGTCTCTTGCTTTGTGATGATCAGACTAGGGTGCAGCTGCCTTGGCCAGTTTCTTGCTTCAGCTGGCAAGGCTGGCTTCCTGCAAGACATACCCAAGGAGAAGCCACAAGGATGTACCCCGATGCAGCCCTGGGTGCTGGAGCAGCCCCATGGAGACCCTTGCCAGCCCTAAGATGCTTACACACTCACTGACTCGGCTTTCCTCCTGCAGCCAGCATCATTGTGTCTGTTTTGTGAGATGGAGGAGGACTTTGTGGATTGGTGTTGGACATATGGGTTAATG